AATGTGTTCCTTTTCAAATTTGTCTATTCTAGGTCCTTTGAATTTCTATGTAAATTTTAGAACTAGATTTTACATTTCTCCAAAAAGCTTTCTGGGACTTACACTGAAATTCCTTTAAATCTATAGATCAATTTAGAAAGGTTTGAGTCTAACATCCCATGAACATGATATCTCACTCTATTTATTTAGGTTTACTTTCTCTCAGAATATTTTGTACTTTTCAGTGTAGAGTTAATTCATGCACATTTTTTGTTAAATTTACCCAAAATATTTTTAGAATCAGTTGGGAATGGAATTTTTAAAATTTCAGTGTTTAGGGTTTGCTACTAGTTTTTAGAAGTACAGTGGATTTTTATACATTGACTTTCCATGCTAGAACCTTAATAGGTCCTATTACCTTTTTGGTAGATTCCTTAAGATATCCTACATATGTGATAATGTCTGCATGTAAACACTGATTTACTTCATCTTTTCCAACTTGTATGCCTTTCATTTCTTTTTCTTGGCTTATTACATGGCTAAGAACTCCTGAAAAATATTGATTAGAAGTAGTGAGAGTGGATATACTTTCATTGTTCCTAATCTCAGGAAGAAAGCATTCCATCTTAACCATTCTGTTACCTAGAAGTTTATTGGAGATGCCACTTATCCAGTTGAAAAGGTTTCATTCTATTCCTATTTTGGTATAAGTTTTTATGATGAATTGCTGTTGAATTTTTTCAAATGTTTTTTCTGCATCTATTGGAAGGATCATAAGGTTTTACTTTTTTAATGTTGTTATAGTACATTGATTTACCAAATCAAAAACCAACCTGGCATTTCTGTGATAAATCCCACTTAATCATATTATTTTATATTTAATATATCTGGGTTTCATTTTTTAGTATCTTAGGAATAACTTTCATATATGTTCATGAAGCATATTAGTCTATAGCTTTCTTTCCCTCTGATGTCTTGGTCTAGTTTTGGTTTCAAGATTATAACGCATTATAAAATGAGTTTTGAAGTGTTTTTCTCGACCTTTTTTTCTGAAAGAGTACTTTCTGTAAGATTGTTTTTCTCGACCTTTTTTTCTGAAAGAGTACTTTCTGTAAGATTGATATAATTTCTTCCTTAAATAGTCTATGCTTTTTAAAAGTCTTTGGTTTAGGTACCAGAATAATAATGGATATATATAGTGAGTTGAGAATTGTTTCCTTTTTTTTTTTGAGTTTTTTAGGATTAGTATTTCTTCCTTAAATATTTGGATTTACTAGTAAAGTTCCCAGCCCGCCACCTCCCACACCTGAAGTTTTATACATGGGTGGAGGGGGTAATTTTTATTATGATTTTAATTTTGGTTTCCTGTTTCTTTTTTCATATTTGTTTATCCATATCCTTCAAGAAATTTGTCTATTTCTCCTAGTTGTGAAATTTTTTTGGCATAATTTGTTCATAGTACTTATTTTGATGCTTTCAATGTTTATAAGATCTTTGGTGAAATCTATTTTATTCTCAATGTTGATAATTTGTGTCTGTTCTCTTTTCTGATCAGCCTAGGTGGAATCTTATCAATCAATTTTATTAAACAGGCTTTTCATAAAACCAGCTTTTGATGTCACTTTTCTCCTTTTTATTTTTAGGTCCAGTTTTTCATTAATTGATTTTCCTTCTTTATTATTTATTTTCATTTCCTTTGTTTTTAAATCAACTTATCTATCTAGCTTTTTAAAATGAAAGCCCATTGATTTGACCTCTTATTTTCTAATTAAGCATTTAAAGCTATACATCTTTTTCTATGGTCTGCTTTAGCTGTTCCTCAAAATTTTTCATATATTGTATTTCTATAATCATTTAGTTCAAAATATCTTCTAATTTTTTAATTTATTTTTAATCTATAGTTACTTAGTTTCTGTGCTTTGATTTTAAGATACCTAGTTTTTCTAGATTTCTTTTCAATATTGAATTGTAATTGAATTCCATTATAATTTGAGAATATGTTCTGTAAGATTTTAAATTTTTTGAAGTATACTGATACTTGTTTGTTGGAATAGCATATGGTTTTTCTTGATGCACATTCTAGATGCACTAAAAAATAGAACGTGTATTCTGAAACTGCACAAATCAGATTAAGGTGGTTGATGAGGTTCAGATTCTGTTTTCTATTTTCTTAATGATTTTTCTCTTTAGTTCTGTCAATTACTAAGAAATGTATGATAAAATCTCCAAATATATATCTCTCATTGGTTCTGTCAGTTTTCCTTTGAAGAGAAATTTAAAGAAAATATAATTTATCCACATACATACATATATCTGTATAAATATATACATTCATGATCACCATGTTTTATAATTTCCCATATATTTATCATTATTTGTATTCTTTATTATTTCCTATAAATACAAGTTACCATGTCATGTCATTTTCCTTTAGCTTTTAGTGACCTGTAGTACAAGTCTGCTGTCCATGAATTGCCTAGTTTTTTTTTATCTGAAAATAATATTTCACCTCAATTTTTTAATATGTTTTGCAAATTTACAACTTTTAACTAAGTTGGGTTTGCTTTTCAACTCTTTGAATAGATTATTATCATTTCTTCTGGCCTTGTTTCTGTTGAGAAATCAGTTGTTAATTGTGTTATTTACCCCCATATGTCATATGTCATTTTCCCTGCCGCTTCCAAGATTTATTCTGATATTCTTAGAATTGATTTTTTTCACATTAATCCTAGTAGAGGTTTCTTGTGCTTCTTGGATCTGTAACTGAATATTTTCATCAAATTTGGGGAATTTTTGGCTATCATTTCTTTAAATATTGTTTCTGCTTTGTTCTGTCTCTCAATATCTAGGACAATTAAATATTTGTTGGGCTTCTCTCTGTTGGTCCACATGTGCCTAGGATTCTGTTTAATTTTCATTATTTTTTTGTTCTGTAGATTACATAATTTCTGTTAATCTGCCTTCAAGTTTATTATTATTTTCCCTTCTTTTATCTTTAATTTACTTGTGAGATCACCAAGTAAATTTTTCATTTAAGGAATTATGATTTAAGATATAAATTTTCTATCTGGTTCATTTTTATAGTTTTCATTTCTCTATATTTTTTCTGTTTACTTATTGATGCCGTATTTTCTTTAATACTTTAAATACACTTTAATTCTTTGAATATACATATATATAATAGATGCCTAGAAGTCTTTCTTTTAAATTCAACTTTTGAACCCATTTGGAGTTTCTGTAGGTTGTGTTTTCCTTATTATGGGTCATATTCAGTAATTTTTGGTTGAAATCTGCATGTTGTAAATAATACATTGTAACGATTCTGAATTTCATTGTTTTTCTGGAGATTTCTAGTTTTTTGTTTTAATAGACAGTTAACTTGTCTGGGCTTAAATTATTAGCTCTCACTTTGGTATACCATGAAGCAGATATTATCTCTACCCAGTTTTTCCAGCTTCATGATGTTGCTTTTTTAGCCTGGTCACATGGGGTTGTCCCCTGCAATCACAAAGTTTACTCAACAGTTAAATATCTGTACAAAATTTATACTGAGATTTGGGGGCTCACACTTTTTATGGTCTTCGCTCCTGTTTTGTCAACAGACTTCAGCTTTCCATTGTACAAGATTCTCCTCTAAGCTTGGGAAAAACATACCTCCAAAGGAGCAGCAAATGTGCAAATCTCACATGATTCAGTTATGTCTTTCAGCTTTATCCTATTCTCTTTTCTTTTGCTTGCAGTTTATTCCTCCAACTCACGCATAACTTGATGGTCAACTAGGGATTTGGGCATAGTTGATAAAACCTTCTGGAGCTCTCTTCCAGGATTTTCCCCCTAAACATTCAGCTGTTTTGACAACACTGAACTCTGTATTCTGCCACCTTAACCTGGAAAGGATATGATTTAAGGTTTCCAAAGCTAAAGAAGGTTAGGAGATTCTTACATGGCATGATCACTGTCTTTCAAAAGGAAACTGAGGTGATGACTTCTTGCTTTTCATTGCTTTCCAGGGCCTTCAAATAATTATTTTTTAATGACGTTTTATCCCAGTTTTACAGATATAGTTGTAAAAGGTTTTGCTAACATTACCACAAGTTCAAACTTTCTTAGGAATATTTATTAACAGTGTGATTTTTACAGATATTGGTGATGTCTATCATATTATAGGAATTCAATTAATATTGATTGGATAAATTAATAATAGCTACTCTCTTTTTAGATAATGCAGTAAATTTACCTTTGTCTCTTTGTGTTGTGTTCAAAGAATAAAATTAAAAAGCTGAGATAAAGTGTAGGCATTTGGCTTATCAGTAATATTAAGAGAATTAAGATATATTCAAGTTGTCATTCTGTAACAAAATCTCAAAACTATAACATATTTTTGTCTGAGAAACCCAATTTATCATTTTTTTAAATTAAAATTCAGAAAGAAGGAAAGATGAGGGAATAATAACAGGTAAATTATTAGGAAAAAATTTATTACAAATTTAGTAACTGTCAAATTAAAATCTTCAATTTTAAATTATTGTTGAATTTAAAGCCCAAAACCAGAATGTAAGAATAATACTAGTTTTGGAAGTATCAGTATTAATACTAATATTAATCATTAGGCTACATATACTAAGCACTTTATTATTGTGACATGAAAGAAATAAAGTGTGAGTTTAAAAACTGGTTGGTAGGTAGTAATGGCCATTTTAGAGGTGCAGTGCCTGAGAAAATCTTATCAAAGAAAAAATATTTCTGGTTCCTTTGATGTAATCGTATATAACGCTCTGCGTTTTGCAGTAGAGTTAGTGTAGTAGATGGAGAATGATTTTGGAATCAGAAAGACTCTCTTAAAAGTACCTACTTCCCACTGACTATCTAGATAAGTTTCTTCATCTATCTCACTGTACCTTAGGAAGATGTAATTATTGCCCCAGCTCATATATTTGTTTGAAGGAGAAAAATTATAAAAACATCTGAGTGTACTTGTTAAATGGTAGAGTTCTAACTACAATTTTTTTTCTTTTTTACAGAAGAGGATAAATATAATATTTATTCTCCTTTGCTCTTCAAATATTTCCTGGCAGAAGGAATCATCAGTGGGCATACTTTGTTGGTTGCATCTGCAAAAGATGAACCTGCCGAAATTTTACAGGTACAGAATATAGTATATCTTATATATTCAATATTGCGTTTTGAATTTTTTATGAAAAAATATTGTTTATAGATGTAAATAAGACAATATGTTTGTATATATGCAAACTATATTTAAATGTACTAATGAGACCATACATATTTTTTTCTCTTAAAGAAAAGTATCGAATTTATTTAAGCATATAGTTTCACTTTTGAATTAGTGTTCTTGAACAATTTTTTTTAACTTAAGTTGAGAAAAATGAATAAGCTATTAAAAACTGACAATAAATAAAGTTATAGTCATGATAATAAGAGAACTCTAAAAAGTTAAGTAAAGAAAAATGACTGCAGAATATGATCAGATATTATATACCAATGTCCCAAAGGTATAAATTAGAAGAAAGATACAGAAATTAAGTACTCATTTATTGATATTATTTTGCTTTAAATATACTAGCAATTATTCTCTTCAAGAAATATGCAATAATAAAATATGTGATAAAAATACTGTGTCTTTTTTAAGCATCAGACAGGGCAATTCTGACTTTTAGAAATCTTAATTTTTTTGTCCAGAATAGAAACTTAATTTAAGGCATTATTTAAATAGAATTCATAATCTAAACTTATTTTTTTCCATAGGATGTTTTCATATCCATGCATAGTCTGCAAAATGGCAAATGACTAAGTCATTTATAAAGAATTTATAGCGTAATTAATACTGATTTACAGTAACTGTCAACAAACAACAACAAACTTCTATATGTCTTATGTTCAAAATATTTATTAATAACCTTATGATGGTTTTTCTGTAACAAAAAAATTCATATTTAAATTTATTTTAAACTTCTTGTCTCAAAAGAATTTGTGTTAAACACATTTCTTCTCAGTTCAGTTATTACAATTAACATTACATGCAATGTATCAATAGACAAAAATTTTTATAATACATTGCTTCATTAAGATGTATCAGTGGATAAATATTGCTAAAATGGGACAGTATTCAGCATCAATTATATTCATATTTTTTGTTTTTATGGATGTGAGCTGTTCACAATTAAGTAAAAGAAAATAGATGTTTTGTTGTTTCAGTGTCCCTCAATTTTTTTTTACTTTTTCTGCACAGTATACACCAAAAAAATTCACAACATGTCTGTCATCATAAATTGTTTTAAATTATTTGTCTGGTCTATCAAGTTCACCTAAAATTTTGCTGAAAACAATGAAAAAAGAGTAATTTCTTCAATTGTTAGAGCATTCACATTTTCTGTACCAAATAGATATTTTTTAAATTATTTCTTTTGTGCTCTGGAAGTTTTTATACTTAGGAAATGAGAAGTAAATCTTTCATTTGTAAAGTGAGAAAAGGGTGATTTGAAAGGAAATGGAAAAGGGGGAACCTGCACTTCTGTCATCGGCACATTCTCTAAAGAGTCGGTTTTCTGTCTGAGTACTTGTGAAAGCTGAAGATCAAGGAATTGATTCCTGTAAAAATATCATGATCATTTGCTTCTTTGAAAGTCTTCATATACCCCAAGTTTAAAGACTCCTAGTTTTTTACAATCAAAAGTGATGGAAACAAGTCATCTTACCTGATCAATATTGTTTCTAAGTTTAGACTACCATATACTCAATATAAATAAATCCAAATGTTGACGTAGCCCAGTGAACCTGTATTTACATTAGTCTATTCTAGATAGTGTACTGCTAATTAGCATTTATTTTATATCAATTTTTTAAAAAGTACATTACTTTGTATTTCAAAGATGTAGGAATAATACCTTTTAAGATACTATTGCTCCATAAAAAATCTAAATAAAGATTATCTTGGCTAAAAAATGTTAAACTAACTGATTGGACTTAGAATTTTTTTTATGAAAATTATACCTCTGGAATGTCACATTACATGTAAATGCATACTGTCTTATTGGAAGCAAAGAAACAAAAGAAACCATTGGTGATATTTTCCTCTTATCTTAAATAGTATTTAAAAGATGATCATTTTAAATAAATTCCCATTGATTAATATATCTGTCAATTTTTCCTTCAGAAGTACTGTTGGTTTCAGTTGACAGCTATTTTACTTGATTTTCCATATTTGAATTTTTACTATCACTGAGATCCAATTTATAATAACCTGCTAGTCAATATCCTGGAACTTAAATTTGTATTATGTTTCAGGGGAAATACATGTTAAAATGGTTTCACCATTTATTTTTAATATTTTTAAAGGTTTCTCTTGCTCTGGACTAGTATAGGTGTTTTCAACTGAAGAATGTGTTCTAGTGTCATCAAATGAATTGTTCTTTATCATGTGCACTTCTACTGTATGTTAAAGACAGTAAAATTGCTGCCACAAAAAGTTAATGGACTTATGCATTAGATTACTTTATATAACATTTCAGATTTGATGCTGCATTTCAAAGTTTATTTCATTCATCTATTTTTGAGTAGCCTAGAACGAGTTGTTTTTGTTTGCATAGCAAGGTTGCTTTACACGATAATTGAATATTAATCAATAATGTTTTCAGTGAAGTTAAATATTAAATTAACTATAAAGTTGAATGTGTGGTTCCCAGGAAAAATTTATCTTCTTTGATCTTAATGCCATTATTTGCTTTTGACTAAAATCACTTATGTAGGCGAGTAATGAAAGTAGTTAAAGGTTGTACATGCTAAGTAATATGCATACTTAACATTTCTCTACATAAAAAAATATTTAAAAACTTAAATTTAAACTGTTTTAATTTCATTATGTTCGTAAGTTTAATGCAGCTCTACTCTGAAAATACATCTGGTTTATTAATAGAATTTTCTTCACTCATCAGTAATATTTCTTAAATTCTCAATCTTGTCATTTTATATTTCTTACATGTTTAATATGTAATAGTAAAACAATATTTGATTTATAAAATAATATGCCATTTTTATTTTTCTATTATAAAAAGTACAAAGAGTATTATTTTAACACATACATATTTAATGTGGTCTACTTAGTGTTCACATGTTTAAAATAGACTGGATTAAAAAATTATGGCTGATAACAATTTAAATTATTTATATTCTTCATAACACCATTGCATGGACAAAGTTTTTAGCATCTCTCTGAGAGGAATAAATAAAATATTTTTGCAATTCAAAATGAGATGTTGACTACTAATGTGGATAAGTAGGTTTTCTATATAATATTCAGTCAAGATTTCAGTCTGCCCAACTCAGAGTTATACTTAAAACTTCATTTGTATCAAACACCCCAACAATGAATGACCAAAACCAAGGCATTAACAGTTTACAGATGCAGTGTAGGGGGAAAATGCTGTACTTGCTTAGTTTTAATTTTATGATATATATGATTGAGGATTTCTGGAACCTATAACCAAGGCAAATATTGCTGGTAAAAGAAAAGGTAAAAGACAATCTTATAGACCATAATTATCTTAAAACTGTATATAACTAAAAGACAAGTAAAGGATAAAAAGCCACATCAGCTGCCTAAGATATCTTATATAACCACCCAGCAATTTATCCATCATCCTTTGAAAACATATTCATGCCTATTGTAGTCAAGGCTCCTTCAGGAAATCAGCATTAAGATGTAACTCTGAAAAATTACACCCCTTAGATAATCCTATAGAACAATATACATGATGTTGTTAAAGGTTTTAAAAACATATGGTAAGTATTTTTCAGTTAAATTTTTTTATCTAAAAGAATTTTCTTGATCATCTCAAAAACAGTGATAAGTATTCTCCATGAAAACTTTCTATGGAATGTTTTCTAAAATACCAAAAATTATAACTTATGTTAAAATATTTAAACATTTATCAGTAGTTAGGCTGATTTTTTTATGAAATAAAAAACTATACACGCATGCACATACATTTCCTTAGAACTTGAGAATACTAAGATTTTTCTCATATTCTTTTCATAATTTTAACAATACGATGTTATGTGTTTATAGAAATTAAATGATTTTTAGAAGTAAATTTAAATGCCATTTCATAATATATTAAGGTTAGTTTTAAAACTTAATTTGAATATTTTTTTAATGACATGCCAGATAGATAATATTCACACAGGGAGAGACATCTAATATCTAGAGCAAAGGGTTCATTCTTGACTCTTTCCATCAACTCTTTGAATTATCTGTTATATACACTACATACTGTCCACCATCAACCACAGTTAGAACAAAGTAGGAAGCTAGAATTCTTTTACAGCTTAAAAATTGTATTTTTTAATATATACCCAGGGTAAGTACATGCTTACCAGCAGGAGTGTTATAACTACTTTCATTTTTACTAAAGGTATACAGTATATATTTAACATCAAACATACTAGTAAATAAATAGCTCAAATATAAAATCAATTATGATAAAACTTCCCATATTTAATATAGAGAAAATCTTTCATAATTGAAAATGAGTTGCTTCATAATAATCCATAAGTTATAAAGTAAGCAACAATTCATTTAAAATGAACTATATAATATGTGATGAGTTAATATAGCAACAAGATATTTAGTACTGAAGTATGAAAATTTAGACTAATATCATCAGAATTCTTTTTATGGCCTTTAAATATCCATAAGAAAAATTAAAATGTTATCTAATAATTAGAAGATATTATTTTATATCCCCAAATATCAGTCTTTTACCCAAATATTGAACTCATTTGTTAAGATCTTATTCATTGTACCATGAGTCTTTTGTTTTATTCGATTCTTTGGTTATAATTAAGATGAGAGATACTAATTGCTTTAGATGAGACACCAAAAATATGGTGATGAAAGGAGATTTGACTTTGGGTGGTGAACACAAAATGTAATATACATATGACATATTGAATTGTACACGTGAAACCTATATAATTTTATTAACCACTGCCACTCCAATATATTTAATAAAGTTCTTTTGATATTGGGAAAAAAATTAATATAATTGAAAAAAGAAGAATTAGGTGAGGCAGTATTATTGGCTAAACAACGTAAAGTTGAATTTCTATTTAAAAGATTTCCTTCTG